ATAATAATTTAATTTTAATTATACAAAGTTTTATTTAAAAAAAAAAAACTAATGACTGTCATTAATTATTTAAACAGCAAAAAAAAAAACAAAAACAAAAAAAATCACAATATAATCGATAAATATTAAATATTTACAAGTATACATCATATTCCATAAGAATTTGGGTTTTTTTTTTTTTTTTTTAAATTTTCCTTATTCTAAAAAAAAAAAACTATTCGATAAGATTTTTAAATTCAAAAAGGAAAATTTTAATAATAAATAAAATTAAAAAGAAAATTACAACAATTAAAAATTTATTGTAAATAATAATTAACTCATTATTTTATTTTTTATAATATTTAAGACCTTTTTTTTATTCATGAAAATAGTCACAATTAAGGCTTTTTTTTCATTTATGGTACCATAACTTATTTACTTTTAATTATCAAAAAAAAAAACCAAAAGAATATGAAAATTAAATTATTATTAAATTTTTGTTTTTATTTTTAAGCATTTAAAACAACAAAGAGTAAACCAAAAATTTCCTTTTATTCATTAAAAAAAAAAATTAATTAAAAAATGAGAGAGAGAGAGAGAGAGAGAAAGTTAATAATGACACATTATTAATTTTTTTTTTTTTAAATTACTAATTGCATATAAAAAAAAAAAACAAAACAAAATTAATAAGAACTTGAAATTTAACAAAAAAAAAAAAAATTTTTCTTCTTCGACAAACTTTTGTAAATTATTACATAACAAACAAATTTAAAATAAGAAAACTCACCATTTTTCTATAGTTAAATATGAAATTTAATGAAAATCTTACAATTAATTACAAGCACGTTGACATCTGTACTGACTATTTATTTATGCACACTACTATTATATTTGCGTACCTATTATTATTATTATTATTATTATTACAAATAATGAAATTTTTCCCCTAATACTTTTTTATATACAAACTCATCCTAAATACTCGCGTACGATTTTTAATCGGATAAAAATTCATTATTTATTATTATTAATTTATTAACACTTTTCAACCGTCAACACTCGTATTTATTGTATTATTTATCAATCGATACAATATTAACATTTAAAATTATTATTATTATTATTATCTAAATGAAATTTCTTTCTAAAAAAAAAACAAAAAATTAATTGAATTTTTGAAGAATATAATAAATAATTCTTCATTATTATCACAATTCACCGTTAAAAAAAAAAAAATTTCCCTGCATTTTTTTTTTTTTTTTTTTCAAAAGTTTGAATGTTAAAATAACCGTTAATCGAAAATTTTGTCATTTTATGCAAGGTAATGCGTACAAAAGTATCGTATTTTATTTTTGTACGCATTATTTTTTTTTTTTTTTCTAATTTTTACAAGCATAATTTTAATAACATTAAAAAAAAATATATATATATATATATATTATAATAAAAATAATTAAAAACTATTTGTATAAATTTAAAATGATACTTTGTTTAAATATATATTTTCTTATGTGTGTAGTATATATATACTGTTTATATATATATGCAAAATAAAACTATGCGAATCGACGATTTTTTTTTTTTTTTTTTACACAATTACCTTCTTAAGAGCTTATAATATATATAAAAATTATAGTTATTATTATTATTATTATTATTATTATTGGAAGCTTGTAATATTTACTAAGAGTCCGTCCCCGCAGGGCTAAGCCTGTTTTCAACTTCACAAGGTACCGAAATCCCACGTTGAGTCAATTCAGTCCTTAGAACGGCATTATGAACTTTCAACTTTTCATTTTGCTGTTGTAAAAAATCTATGTGAGAATTTAACCTTTCTATTTCTTTCACGCAATCCGAAAGCTGTTCTTCCGCCCTACGAAGTTCCATTATGTACTCGCAAGCTTTTGCTAATATACCACCTTTACTCTGTGTGATAAGTTAATGTTTACATTACATCAATGTGAAAATATAATCGTAATGATTTTGTATTTCATAAACACTCATACCTGTACACTTTTATTATTATCCATCGAACTACAGTCTGGTATTATTTTGCTAAGTTTAGCAATCCAATTGTTAATCTTATCTCTTCGCCGCCTTTCAACTTCATTGTGTGTAGCTCTTCGCCTATCATCCCTCTGTAAATTTATTAATGTTTTTTAAACGAATAATTCAATAAGCATTTTTAAAAACAAAAATCCAACTTGTTGCAACTTAAATTCCATAATAACATTTAAATATATTAATAAATTGTGCATTTTAAAGACGTTTTAAAGATCAAAACAGTTTTTAAAGGCTAAATGCACATATAAAAAAAAAAAAAATTAAACTTGCTACATTAACGTTTTAAAAAATGGAGGTTAACAAGTTTTACATTAAATAATATGAAATAGATATTACTGAATGTTAATTAGACTGCTATTTATGATCGGCAACTTAAAACTATAAAAATATTATAATAAAAATTTTACATTATTTTAAAAGAAAAAATTAATGTTTAATATGAATTATTAAATATGGCGTTGGTAAATGTAAAGACTCGACAAACTCACCCTGACTCTTGTAGGATTATTCGAGACACAAATATTTCTATTTTCTATTTGCATGCTACCTCTTGGAGCTAGACATCTTGGAGTTTGAGAATTAAAAACTTCATTAGCATTTCCAATGACATAAAAATGATTAGTAGCAAATCCGCTAGTCAATACAGCTGTAGCTGGTTGAACATGTCCCTGAGAAGGTACATAATTTGATGTTATACTTTCACCGTCATTTTCTTCAGGATTTACATGAACAACTCTATAAGTGACTACATAAAAAGAAACAAACAATTTTATAAATAAAATTAATTAGAAATTAATCATACCTTTTTAAACAATTTTTTTTTTTTACCTCCTTCACCCGATCTCCATTGATATTGCACTTCATCATCTCCATCTAAAATTGGTTGAGCATGTGTTAAATTGTCTACGGTTTGATCATCGGATATTGATCCATCATCTTCAATTATTGTTAAATTGGTACCATCAACAATAGCTTTAGGATCATCAATATCTTCACCTTTCAACTGTATTTCATCTTGACTGTAAATTACGAGTATTCAATTAAAATTACATTCCTTAATTATTTAAATTTATCCATCTATTATTATACATTATTATTTTTTTTAAAAGTTTTAATTTATTTTACACGCACAATATAAAAAAATAAATAAATGATAAAAAATTGGGGTTATTAACTGATGGAAAAATTTCAATTATAAAAAACAATTACATTTGCTAATGATTTACATTCAACATCAAATTGTATTAATTGTTATTTGAATACTAATTTTAAAAAAATCAACGCTTTATATTTACAGTAAATAAGTTTTATCTTAAGTTTACTGCAAAAAAATTTATGTATATTTAATCTTGATTGATGAAATTTTTTAAAAACAAATTAGTGATTTTATATGGCCTATTACACACCCAACTGGTGATAAAAAGTATGGAATTAGCATTTATTAACTAAAACCAACAGCGATGAAATATGAAAAAAAAAAAATAATAATAATAATAACATTAACGACAGTAAATATTCGACTATCTAATAAAAGACCAATCGTATATATCCTTTACATAAAATCCTCTGTATTCATTAGTCTGTACAAAAAAATTTTCATTATCGTTCTAAGCATAAAATATAAATATTTAAATATTTATTTAAATTGGATTTATGTTTTTACTTACTTGTAGCTTTCTGCACTAACCTCGTTTCAAGAGTTTGTTCTAATATGTCCATAACCGCTACTTTGCAGTCGTTTGAATTCCTAAGTAATCGCGTAATTTTGATCACGGGGTCAAACAACGGGTCATGTGAGACATATATAAAATGGCTGACTAACGATGCGCATGCGCACTAAAAACGACAGCATTTTTCAAGGTTTTCCGTAAATTATCCAGGCATTCCATGAATTTTGAAATTAAATAAGTAAATTAATAATTACAAAAAATTAATTTTTTCTCTTTAAATTATTATTAATATTATCAACGAACTTCAATATTGTTATGACATTCCTAATGAGTATTTTTCTAGGAGTGACCAGTAATTTTTGCAAATTTAAATATGGCAGAAATAAAAAAAGTACGTTGAGCAATGTAGTACTACAACATACTATCTCGCTATCCTTCATTTTGAAATGACAATGTTTATTTTCGAAGGAAATCGAAAAATCCCCAAGGAATATGAGTTTATTTAATTTAATGTCCCACTTTCCTTTTAAGTATTAAAATGAATACCATAAATGTCCTTCTTCTTAAAATTTAAGCACGTTTTGATTTACCTCAATCATTCTATAAAAAATAAAGAGTTAATGATTAATAATTACATAAATAAATAAATTTATAAAAATAATTTTACACTAAAAATTTCATAATACATAATAGTTAAAAATTATTAATACAAAATTCAAATTAATTTCTTCTAACAAAAAAAAAAAATCGAAAAGATAAATGTAAAATGGCGTAGAAAAAAGAAAAAGAAAAAAAAATTTTCTGAAAGTTAAGGAAAACCTTAACTTTTTTAACCGTAAAAAAAAAAATAAAATATTGAGTAATATTATTTTTTTATGAATGAAGAAAGTTTATATATAAAACAAATATGGTAAAACAACAATGAATAACTTAATAATGTTTTCGTATAATATTTTTATAGTTTAGTTTATATCAAAACATGGTGTGTGTGTTTCACGATATTACTACAACTACATATTTTTTTTTTAAATCGAATTTTCGTAAATTTTCCGGGGTAAAATTTTAAAGTTTATTCATTTCATCAATTTTCTATTTAACGGTAATTACTATCAATTTATTTTTACTTGATTAAAATAAATAATAATAATATTTTTATTTGTTTTGTATTAAAAAAAATTTTGAAGAATTATTATCAGTAACATCAAAAAAAAATTATTATTATTATTTTCCGTTAAAAAATTTATATCAAATTTTATTAGTTTTTCATTTTTTACCTTTCATTCTATCAAATCCCATTTGATTTTATTCTAAAATTACATTATGTAATTAAAATAAATAATTTTATTTATTAAAAACATTTAAAAAATATTTTTTTTTTACCTTATCTCATTAAAATTTTGAATCATTTTTTCAAAAAAATTTAATTTTTTTAATTGATTATTTTTGAAAATTATTTATTTATTAATATTATATTAATTTAATAATATCTTAAGGATTAGTTATAGTTAGTAACAAAGTTAAACAATTTTACATTCATTATTCAATTGATAATAAATATAAATAAATAAATAATTTATAAAAATTTAAAAAAATAAAAATTTCAGTTTGTGGTTGGTGGTGAAATATATAAAAGTGTAGAATTTGTTAAAGTTAAATGAATTAAATATTTAAGAATGAATAAATAATAATTTAGATAGTTTAACGTAATCAAATTTTAATTTAAAATATTTAAAACCTACGCAAATTGGCCTACGACACAGGTACACCTACAGTAATTGTGCAACTGCTTCTAATGATTCCCACACATATTCAGGTACACATAAATTTAATTAATAATGTTCCTTCGCAATTTTTATTTAAATTAATTTAATCATTTTTAACATTGAATTAAATATAAATTTAAAAAAAAAAAAGAAACTTTGTTTTCTTTAGCATGAAATAAAAAAACATTTATGAAATTATTTATTTAATTTTTAAAAAAAAAAAATGATAATTTTAGTAATCGCCATGTTTTGATTTTCAGGTTCTCTTCAATAGTGTAAATATCGATGAATGATTATTATTTTTAAACGTTTTTTTATTTAATATTGTTTGAATAATGAGTATATTTTCCACATCACAAATACCCCAAGATAATAATAATAAAATGATAATTTTTCATTCGGATAATAAAAATACGTTAAAGGAAAAAATGTCGTTTGTGACGTCATCAAATGGAAAATATTCGTTGAGACCGAGATCGTTGAGACAAAAAACGGAAAAAGGATTAGAAATTATGAAAATAAAAATGGTGAATAAAAAAAACGATGAATTTAATAAAATCAAAACGAAACCTCCACCTCTATCTAAATATAGGAGAAAAACGGCTAATGCAAGAGAAAGAAATAGAATGAGAGAAATAAACGTGGCATTTGAAACGCTTCGAAGAGTCGTACCCGACATTTCGAATTCCGTTAGTACCGGAAATGAAAAATTAAGTAAAATTACTACCCTTCGTTTGGCAATGAAATACATTCAAACTTTGAGACAAATTCTTGATCAAAATAATAATAACAACGATCAAAAGTTTGTTCGTCATTTTAATTTAATCAATAATAATTCTGATATAAGTGTACCGTTTGATGACGATTCTGAAAATGTGGAAATATGTTTAGAGGAAAATCTATGCTCACCTTTAACCGTCCGCCCATTATTATCACCATTTTCCGAATTTATAACGGACGAAGACAGTGAATTATCATTACATGAAAATATTATACGTTCTGATGTTTGGCTCGAAAACAATTGTGTTAATTTGAAAAATGATATTAGTATTTTTAATGATTGTTTTGATGATTTTAGCTAATGTCTTGTTTTTGTGTGTATTTTCATTAAAAAACTGCCAAAAATAAATTTTTTACCATTCATAAGAATTTAAGTATGTTATTAGTTTAGTAAAATTTAATAGGATTGTTTTTAAAATTGATTTAAATAAATACTTAAAAACTATTACAATAAACTCTGAAAATAAATAATTTTTATGTAATTGTACAAAGTGAAAATGACAAATTAATATTTAATTTTATTTTTCTGTAATTTTTTTTTTTTTTTATTTCCTAAAAGAAAATAATATATTTAATTATTAAGAAATTTTTTCTTAACTGATATTTCACACTTTAATATGAAATTTTTAAGCCATTTTTACAAAATTTAATGGAAATTTTAAAACAAAATTTTTAATTATTCATATATAAGTATATTTATATTCGTTTATTAAATACTTTTTTTTATCTCAATATTTATGTAAAAATAGTAAATATTTAATAAATTTTTATTTATAAATATAATTTTATATAAAAAAATAATCAATCAAACATGTATTACCCATGAGTAGTAAATATGTATATACTTTACTTACACATATATGTGAAAAACAATTTGGTAAACAAAAAAAAAAAAAAAAATCACAAAAATATATGGGAAAATAAAAATTACTTTTAAAAATAAAAAGATTTGTTTTATATTACATTATTTAGATTTGTATTATAAATATATATACTGTTGTATAATTATTTATAAAATATTTCACTGAAATTCTTGACATTATTAATTGAAGAGATATAAATAACTTCTGAATTGTAACGATTCACTTTAAAGTCTTTGACACATTTTTATCAAATACTGACATGAATCTATCTTATTTACATTTTAGGATCCCCTGCAAAATAATCAAACCAAGATATAAAAATATTTATATAAATTCAAGTTAAAATTTCAATTGTAATTTACATTACTAGAAGTAAACAATCAAAGCTCGACGATACTTTTTGGAATTTAAAAAAATGTAATTGACTAAAACTTTAAACAATATTTTATGTCTCAAATAAAATTCTTTTTTAAATCTTTAAATTTATAATTTATTGTTATTTATTAATAATCTACATAAATTGATATAGTTTAATACTTACACTATGATGTTGTTAATTGGTATGTGTATTAATTTGACAAAAAATCCGATAAATCCCATAATACAAAACCCGATTGCAGTAGCCACTGCTATTTTTTGGAATTCTAAAAAAATTAAAAATTAATTTTCTTATCAATATTGAAATATTTCTACATAAAGACCACAATAAAAGATTTAATAATTAATTTAAAACACTGATAATAATAATAATTTCCAAAAAATATGCATTTTAATGATTAAATTTAATTTTTTTTACAAGGAAAAAAATATTTTCTTATTTTGTTTAATGCATTTTTATACAAAATGTACATTTTGAAAAATTTTATAAAAATAAAATAAAATAAAATGAAAGTGTTAATGTTATTTTTAAAAAATTTTTTGAATTATAAATATAAATCCATTGCAAAATTTTTTATTTACCTTTTCTATCAGGTTTCGTACATCTTTTAACGAGCCTAATGGAATCTTTGGCAAATTGTTTTCCTGGCTCAACTAATTTTGTGACTTGATCCATTGAAAAAAAATTTTTTTAAATCTGTCAAAAGACTATCGCTCCTGAAAGAAGTAAAAAAAAACCGTATTTTTCTATATTAAATAATAATAATGAGTTAATATTTAAATATAATGTATTAAAGTACGCATAAATTCACGTTTAGATTCTTTATGAATTAGAAAAAATAATACTTTATCGAGTTACTAACCGAAATCTTTGAAAATTTGAGAGTTAACACTACGTTTAACCTCAGTTGTAGTATTTCCAACACATCAATTTTAGATGGGACAATATAATACGTCACAACCGGATATACTTATTTTGCCTTTAAAAAAATTCACCGCCTTTTAATAACGGATCTTACTTTTTGTTTGTAGATATATATATTGTAAGTCATCATGGAGGAAATAGGTATTATTTTGCCAGACAAGGTAATTTTAATATTTTTGACATTTAAAAAAAAAAAACAAAATAAACTATAATTCCTTATGACTTTTTTAACATTAATAATGTAACTTTTTAAAATTATAATTTTTATTTTGACCTTTCACAATGAATATTCATAAATAATGCGGCTTTTAGAACAATGCTTTAATCTGAAGATGATATTCTCATACTTTTTAATAATTTTTTTTTGTTTGTATATCCTTTTTTATTAAGTTGTATTCCTTATTAATATTCTGCAGGAAGAAGTACTTTGTCAAGATGTTAAGCCTGCTTGGGGAAATAATGCTATTGGAGGTGGAGATGAATTTGATCAGGAAGATTTATACACAAAATATAAGGTAAACTATTACAAACTTTTGTACCCAAATATTTCTCTAGTATAATTTATTTTAGGGAAAAGTAATAATATTATAATACTACCACAATCTACCATAGTAAAGTAGTTTTTTTTTAATTGAATAAAATGAAATAAGAATAAATTAAATATTAAAAATTTACTATTTTCATACATTCATGCATCATTACATTTTAGAAATTGCAAAGGCAGTTAGAATTTTTAGCTGTTCAAGAAGAATATATAAAAGATGAACAGAGAAATTTGAAAAAAGAATATTTACATGCTCAAGAAGAGGTGAAAAGAATTCAATCAGTACCTCTTGTTATTGGGCAATTTTTAGAAGCAGTTGATCAAAATACAGGCATTGTCGGAAGTACTACAGGTTCTAATTATTATGTTAGAATTTTGTCAACAATCGATAGAGAACTTTTGAAACCTAGTGCAAGTGTGGCTTTACACAAACATAGTAATGCTTTAGTTGATGTTTTACCACCTGAAGCTGATTCCTCCATATCAATGTTACAAGCAGGTAAGACAACATCATGTTTTTAAAGGATATTATTTATCTAAAAAACTACTTGTAAAATGCAAATATCAAATGTTATGTTTAGATGAGAAACCAGATGTTCAGTATTCAGACATTGGAGGCATGGATATGCAGAAACAAGAAATTAGGGAAGCCGTTGAATTACCCTTAACTCATTTTGAATTATACAAACAAATTGGAATTGATCCACCTAGAGGTGTATTAATGTATGGACCTCCAGGATGTGGGAAAACTATGTTGGCTAAAGCAGTGGCTCATCATACAACAGGTAAATTTAATTAGAAAGAGTCATAGAGTAATATTTAATCTCATACCACATTTCGAACATCATTTAAATTACACTCACTAAAATATTTAATGATTGATTTTTTAGCTGCATTTATTAGAGTCGTAGGATCAGAATTTGTCCAAAAATATTTAGGTGAAGGGCCCAGAATGGTGAGAGATGTTTTTAGGTTGGCCAAAGAAAACAGCCCCGCTATTATATTTATCGATGAAATAGATTCGATCGCAACTAAACGTTTTGACGCTCAAACTGGTGCCGATCGAGAAGTTCAAAGAATTTTACTAGAACTTTTAAATCAAATGGATGGTTTCGATCAAACAACAAATGTTAAGGTAGTAATAAAAATTAAATTTAACTTTACTACTTGCCAAACTCCTCTTTCGAATAGAAATAATGTATTTCTTAAAATTTTACTTCGTTAAATATTTCAGGTGATAATGGCAACTAACAGAGCCGACACTTTAGACCCGGCACTCCTTCGTCCTGGTCGATTAGACCGAAAAATAGAATTTCCCATGCCCGATAGACGTCAAAAACGACTCATTTTTTCAACAATAACGGCAAAAATGAATCTAAGTGAGGAAGTTGATTTGGAAGATTTTGTCGCCAGACCCGATAGAATATCGGGAGCGGACATTAACGCAATTTGTCAAGAGGTAACGTCGAATCCATCGAATATAGATTTTAACAATTTTTTAACGAATTTGAAAATAAAATTTACAAAAAAATAGTGCGTGAGTGTGCGTGTGCGTGTGTGTGTGTATCGGATCGAAGTTTGTCCCAATTTTCGATAAACTTTTTCAATTAAATAAATAATTTTTTTTTTTTTTTTTTTTAGGCTGGCATGCACGCAGTGAGAGAAAATCGATATATTGTATTAGCTAAAGATTTTGAAAAAGGATATAAAAATAATATAAAAAAAGAAGAGTCGGAACATGAATTTTATAAATAAATATTAATAAAGTGGAGATTATTCATTATTTAAAAAAAAAAAAAAAATGTTTACAATAACACGTTATTATTAAAAAATAAAAATTTTGAGTTTTTTTTCTTAATGTGTGTACATTATTAATCTGTCCTTAATTTTTTATTGGAATTAACACTAATGCCCACTTTATCCAAAATTAATCCAATCGTAATATAATTAAGATTAAAAATTATTATATTTTAATTTAACTAAAAGAAAAAGTATTAAATTGATAATAAAAAAAAAAAAAAAATTTTGCTAATTTTGCCTTCAAATTTTTTTATTTTGTTTGCTTTTACCGTCCCTCCCTCACATTATTAAGAAATTTAAAATAAGAATATTTTATTTAAACGTATAAAAATTTAATAAATTAAATATTAAAATAAAAAAAAAAAAAATTTCTAATTCCTCCTCCTCCTATTAAATAGAATGCCTTTTTGTAGGATTATAATTTTTTTTTCTTTAATTTAATGACGTCATAAACAGTAAAAAATTTTATTTAAAAAAAAAAAAACATGGCGATTATTTTTAAAAAGACGACAAAAAAGTAAATTTGTCAGAATGGATAGATAGATGAGTTTTTCAATAATTACAAATATAAATAAAATAAGAATTTAATATATTAATATATAAAATAAAATAAACGGATAATAATAATAATAAAATAATAAAATTTCTTTTTTTTTTTTTTTTTTTTTTTTTTTCTTTCGCACTTAATTTTTTCATTGCGCATGATTTTTTTTTATTGACGTCATTGAAATTTCGGTTTGATCAAACTCCTACTGCCAGTTGGGTTATCTTCAATCGCGTCGGTTTAAAGTAATTAACTAATTTTTTTTTTTATTTTTTATTTTTTTTTGTTGTAATATAGTATTAGTAAATAAAAATTGTCGTTAATTTTAATATGTTGAGAAAAATATTCAAATGAAAAAACAAACAATTTTAAAATAAGTTTATGTTTTTTTTTTTGTGTGAAATTAAAATGTTTTCTATTTGGGCAATGAAAAAAAAATACAATATGACAATCTCGTCAGCAGCGAGATTTTGTATTTGTAAGTGTGAGCCTATTTTATTTAATAGATTTTAATTTTATGTGTTTATTGAAGGTTACATTTTATAAAAAAATGTTTTATAAATCGATTAAATAATTGTAATTAAATATTATGTAAATACGGAAATAAGTAATTTTGGTGGAGGTAAAAAAAACAGAAAACAGAAAACAAGGCTATTTAATTTTTGATTTGTTTCAATGATAATATTTTTCGGCGATAAAAAAACCAAAAAATTAATTAACTTTTAACAAAAACCTACATACCTACCACCCTACATTACCTACATACATACCTACAATAAAAATTAATAACATTTAATAAAATTAAAAATAATTATTATTATTACAAAGTTAATTTTTATATGTTTTACATGATGATGAATTATATTAAATTTTTTTTTTTTTGTCATAATTATTATTATTATAGTTCATTACACCACATTAAAAATGATTTTTTTTTATGTTGTTATTAAAGTAATAATAATTAAATAACGTTTAATTTAATAATAATAATAATAATTTATTAAACTTTTGGGTATTTTTTTTAAAGTAAAATTACATCATGTTATACTTTATGGTTTTTTTGTAAAGCCTTACAAGTTCATTAAGAAGATTCCATGTGAATTTTTTAACATTGTATATATATATATATATATATATATATTTTAAAATGCTTTTATTGTTAGATAATAAACTCCCCTCTCCCTCCCCTTTCCCCCCCAAAAAAAAGAAAACTTTTACACACAAATTGTTTCTCAATAGGCGAAAAAAAAAATTGATGTAATAATAATAATTATTATTTATTTATTGTGGGTTTTGTACTTGAAAGTAAATTTTAAGGGTTTATTTGTTATAAAAATTCTAAGATGTTTCCTCCTCCCCCCCTGCTAAAATTTAATGGATGTCTAAACATTTCACCCCCCCCCTAAAAATATAATATCATAATGGGAAATTTTTATACTATATCATTAGCCTGCGTGAAATATCATTGCGTGTTTTAAATTAATATTAATTCAATAAAAAATTTATTATTAATATCGATTTGTATTATAATTGTAATAATAATAATAATAAAAACAAAATGAAAATTTTTGTAAAAATTGATTTGAACAGTAGTAAGTAAGTTTGATTTTAACGGTTTTTTTTTTTTGAAGCAAAGGTATAAATAATAATGCTAAGGTTAAGGGCTATAATAAATACTTAATAAAATATTAATCAAGAAGAAGAAGAAGTAATAATAATAATAATTACGTATACCTTAAAATGAATATAATATTTATACGAAACGTAAATTTTTAATCGTTAAAAAAAAAAAAAAAAAAAAAAAAAAAAAGTGCACACACTCACTGAGTATATACGGGGATCAAACAATATTTAAATATTTAAGCGGTTTTATTTATAATCACAGAGAGAGAGAGAAAGAGAGAGAGAGAGAGAGAAAAATTCAGAATGCCAACATAATTTAAATCTGCGACAAAAATTTCATGGAAAATATTTTCGCGGTATTAAAAATTACCTTTGGCAAAAGGTAGAATACGGCACGCGTTACGAGTTTTTTTATTGTATAACGATTTTTAAAAAGGATTGAAACGAAGTAAAATGATACGCCATGATTTAAATTAAAAGAAAAAAACGTTCGAGAATAATGTAAGTAAGTATTTTATTCTGAAAAACTATTTATATATACTTTCTTTTGTATTAAATAAACGAATATGGGGTATTAAATAATCATGGATGGATTTCTACCATTTCCATCCATCGAATAACCTTCATTACATAAAATCAATTCAATTATTATTTATACGTTATATAAATAAATAAATAAATGAATATTTTCACGTGAATGATGATATTTTATTACGTAATACGTATATTAATAATAATAATAATAAACCATAATCTTATATTAATTGTTTTTTTTTTACTACATAGTTTGATATACGTTTATTTAACAAGTTGTACGTTAAATCATTTTGAATGTTTTTTCTCTCTTTTTCTGTGTGTGTGTGTAATTACACTAATGATAATTTAAGAATATTTTTTTTCCTCTTAAAAAACTAAAAAAATTATTACGGTGTAATTAAGAAGAAATCCCCTAAAAAAAAAAAAAAGCTTTCATATAATAAAATCGAAAAAGTTTACGTTTCACTCGTAGAATTGTCTACAAAAAAAAAAAATTAGGTTAAAAAAAATGACGTGTTTAATAAATGTAACGGTTGTAAAAAAAAAAAAAAAAAAAAAAAAAAAAATTTAAACTGTTTTTTAATTGACGCAAGTTTTATTTATCGTCGTCGTCAGCTAAAAAAAAAAAAAAAAAGTCTTTGAAGCCAAAATCGTTTACAATATTATTACGATAATAATAATAATGATAATAATAATAATATTTACAACCTTGACAGCAATAAAAAAAAGTGAAATTTATTTAAAATTAAAATTTATAATTTTTTTTTATTAACCCTTTTTTTTACGGTTAA